CCGAAAAAACCTACAACAACCCAGTGATTCCGGCCGTGAAACCCTTCGACAACACAGTGAGTGGGAGACCTGGCGCTCTTTCCCTTCCTTTGCCTGGAGAAGAAGCCCACCCTTTGCATTGCCTCATTCTGCAAGCCAGCCAGCCAGCAGTCCAGCAGTCCCTTTCTGCTCTGCCCCCCCCCCTCCCTCCCTCCCCATTGACATCCACAGGGATGAGAGGGGAGGAGGAGGTTGTGACGTCAGAGGAGGGGGTGGAGCCTGCAGCCTGGCATGGTGCCAGTCCTGGGGATGGAGGAGGAAGCACGCAATTGAGGCAAATGGGGGGGGGGGGGGTGGAGAGAAAGAGGGAAAGAGAGAGAGCTGGCAGGGCTGGGGGAGAACTAAGGCTGGGAGGAAAAGGAAGGAAAGGAGACCCCCCCCCCAATTATTCCCCCTTCTCTCTACAGCCCCTCCAGCTCAGCCTTGCAAAGGGAGGGGCTCCTTTCCAATACCCCCCCTCCTTTGCTTTCATTTCCTTTCCAAATTGCACCCACTCCTTCCCAGTTTGCCCTTCGCCTGCCTTCAAGGACAACCTACAGAGACAGAGAGAACCCCCCCCCCCCAAATTGGGAGAAGAAGAAGGGAGGGGTAGAATATGGATTATTGATAAACAAGGGCATTTTTGCACCTTCCCAGTGTTTGCAAAAACATCCTGGGTTTTGCAAAAAAAAAAAAAAGGGATTTTTTGCAAAACCAGGCTTTGCACCAGTCCTCCCCCCACCCCTCCCTTCATGCTACAGGTGTGTTCTTGCGCCTGCGCAAAAGGGAGGGAGGGGGGACACTAGCCAAAGCTCTCCCCAGGCTTTGCCAATAGGGAGGGGGGGTGGGGAGGGGGAAATACATCCCCTTTTCCTTTAAATAAGGGGGGTTATTTTGCAAAGCTGCAAAAGGAGGAAAAGGAAGGGAGTGAAAGGCAATTTGCAGAATAGCATTCCCTTCTCTTCCCCCCCCCCCCCCGGTTTGGCCCGCCCTTTAGGTCATGCCAGGCTGCCATGTTTGCCATGGCTTCCTCTCTCCCCCCCCCCTTCCCCCATTCACCCATTTCCTTCCTTTGCAAAATAAATAAAAGCAAGCCAAGCCTCGCTTGCTTCGTTGCAGGAAGACTACAAAATGGGAGGAGGAGGGGGGGGGAAACATGGAGGAGGGAGTCACCTCTCAACTCACCTGAACCCAACCACCCACCCCCCCCCCCAATTAAAAAAATACATTTTGCAAATCCTTGGAGGGATAGATGCATGCATGGATGCATACACAAAGCTTGCAAAATATTATTTTCTAGGAACTTGCAAGATAACCCACTTTCCCTTTTTCTAGATGGGGGGGGAGAAGATTACTAACCCCCCCCCCAATTAAAAAAATACATTTTGCAAATCCTTGGAGGGATAGATGCATGCATGGATGCATACACAAAGCTTGCAAAATATTATTTTCTAGGAACTTGCAAGATAACCCACTTTCCCTTTTTCTAGATGGGGGGGGAGAAGATTACTAACCCCCCCCCTCCAATTAAAAAAATACATTTTGCAAATCCTTGGAGGGATAGATGCATGTATGGATGCATACACAGAGAAGAAGCTTGCAAAATATTATTTTCTAGGAGCTTGCAAAATAACCCCCCTTCCCTTTTTCTAGAAGGGGGGGAGAAGATTATGATGCCAAGATGCCCCCCCCCACTCTGTATCAGAAGAGGGGGGTTCTAGCATGGATGCATAGAGAAGGAGCTTGCAAAGTATTATTTTGCATACACAAAGCTTGCAAAATATTATTTTCTAGGAGCTTGCAAAATAACCCCCCTTCCCTTTTTCTAGATGGGGGGGGAGAAGATTATGATGCCAAGATGCCCCCCCCCACTCTGTATCAGAAGAGAGGGGGTTCTAGCATGGATGCATAGAGAAGGAGCTTGCAAAATATTATTTTCTAAGTGGGGGGAGATTATGATGCCAAGATGCCCCCCCACCCTGTATTAAAAATAGTTCAAAGAAGAGGGGGGGGGGTTGCAGGATGGATGAATAGAGAAGCTTGCAAAATATTATTTTCTAAGTGGGGGGAGGTTATGATGCCAAGGTGCCCCCCCATCCTGTATTCAAAATAGTTCAAAGGGGAGGGGGGTTGCAGGATGGATGCATAGAGAAGGAACTTGCAAAATTTAAGTACATGGAGGAGGGAGTCACCTCTCAACTCACCTGAAGCCCCCCCCCCCCCAATAAAAAAACTGCAAATCCTAGGATGATTTATGGGTGCATAGAGAAGGATCTTGCAAAATATTATTTTCTAGGGGGGGGGATTGAGGAGGGGGTCACCTTTTGACTCACCTTAAGCCAACTCCCCCCCCCCCAATTAAAAATATATATATTGCAAATCCTAGGTTGCAGGATGGATGAATAGAGAAGCTTGCAAAATATTATTTTCTTGGGGGGGGGGAGGAGGAATTAACCCTCCTGAACCCAACTCCCCCCCCCCCATTAAAATTTTGCAAATTCCAAATTTTGCAAATTTTGCAAATTCTAGGATGCATATATGGGTGCATGGAGAAGGATCTTGCAAAATATTATTTTCTGGGGGGGGATCTCACCTGAAGCCAACCTCCCCCCCAATTAAAATATATATTTTGCAAATTCTAGGGTGCATTTATGGGTGCATAGAGAAGGATCTTGCAAAGTATTATTTTCTGGGGGGGGGGGAGAACTCATAAAAAGCCAACCCCCCCCCAAATTAAAAAATATATATTGCAAATTCTAGGGTGCATTTATGGGTGCATAGAGAAGGATCTTGCAAAATATTATTTCCTAAGGGGGGGGGGCAGGAATTACTCACCTGAACCCAACTCCCTATTCCCCCCCCCCAATTAAAAAAAAATACATTTTGCAAATCCTTGGATGCATAGAGAAGGAGCTTGCAAAATATTATTTTCTAGGAGCTTGCAAAATAACCCCCCTCCCTGTAATAAAAAATAGTTCTAAATGGAGGGGGGTTGCAGGAGGATTGCAGGACCCCTAATCCTTATCAAGGGGGGGGGGAGAATAATAATAATTCGGGGCAATTGGGGAGGGGGCTCTTGCAATCCCCCTCCCTCCCCTTTGAACTTGAAATCTAGGGGGGGGGGAAAGGGAGGGAGGCAATGCAAAGGGAGTGTGTGTGTGTGGGGGGGGATTGAGCTGCCATACCCAAGACAGGGAGGGGTGGGGGGGGGAATAATAATACTAATTGGGGAAATTGGGGAGGGGGCTCTTGCAATCCCCCCTCCCCTTTGAACTTGAAATCTGGGGGGGGGGGGAGAGGGGGGGGGATGCAAAGGGAGTGTGTGTGTGTGGGGGGGTGAGCTGCCATACCCAAGACAGGGAGGGGTGGGGGGGGGAATAATAATACTAATTCAGGGCAATTGGGGAGGGGGCTCTTGCAATCCCCCTCCCTCCCCTTTGAACTTGAAATCTGGGGGGGGGGGGAGAGAGGGAGGGAGTGCAAAGGGAGTGTGTGTGTGTGTGGGGGGGGGGGATTGAGCTGCCATACCCAAGACAGGGAGGGGGGGGGGGATTGAGCTGCCATACCCAAGACAGGGAGGGGTGGGGGGGGGTATAATAATACTAATTCGGGGCAATTGGGGAGGGGGCTCTTGCAAGCCCCCTCCCTCCCCTTTGAACTTGAAATCTGGGGGGGGGGGGGGGGGGAAGAGGGATGTTAAAAGAAGTGTGTGTGGGGGTGGGGGGGGGGGGGGGGGGGTGGGGGGAATAATAATAATACTAATTCCAATACTACTACTACGTGAAGGCAAAGGGTTTTGCCATTATGGTAAGTTTTGTCCCAAATCTAGGGGGGGGAAAGAGGGAGGCAATGCAAAAGGAGTGTGTGTGTGTGGGGGGGGGGGGTGAGCTGCCAGCGCCGACAGGGGGGGGGGGGGGGGGGAATAATAAATAATAATAATAAACATAACAATAAATAAAAAATATAATAAAAAATAATATGTGAGAATAATAATACTAATTCAGGGCAATTGGGGAGGGGGCTCTTGCAATCCCCCTCCCTCCCCTTTGAACTTGAAATCTGGGGGGGGGGGGGGGGGGGGGAATGCAAGGGGTGTGTGTGTGGGGGGGGGGGTGAAGCTGCCATACCCAAGACAGGGAGGGGTGGGGGGGGGAATAATAATACTAATTCGGGGCAATTGGGGAGGGGGCTCTTGCAATCCCCCTCCCTCCCCTTTGAACTTGAAATCTAGGGGGGGGGGGGGAGGGAATGCAAAGGGAGTGTGTGTGTGTGGGGGGGGGGGGGGGGGGGTTGAGCTGCCATACCCAAGACAGGGAGGGGGGGGGGGGTAAATAAATAATAAAAATTAAATAGCTATATTCAGGGCATTGGGGAGGGGCTCTTGCATCCCCCTCCTCCCCCTTTGAACTTGAATCTGGGGTGGGGAGGGGGGGGGGGGGGGGGGGGGGGGGGGGAGGGGGGGGAGGGAGGGAGAAGGAGAAAGGAGAGGGAGAGGGATGGGCGCCTTGTTGTTGATGTGTGGGGGGGGGGTGGTTTTGGAGCTGCCATACCCAAGGACAGGGAGGGTGGTGGGGGGGATGTGAATAACAGCAAAATATTGTATAATATAGATACTAATTCATGCTTATTGGGAAGGTGCTCTTGCAATCCCCCTCCTCCACCCTTTGCACTTGAAGTCTAGGGGGGGGCTAGAGGGAGAGGGAGGAGTGCAAAGGGAGGTGTGTGTGTTTGTGTGTGGGGAGGGAGGGAGTGCAAAGGGAGTGTGTGTGTGTGGGGGGGGGGGTTGAGCTGCCATACCCTAGATAGAGAGGGGTGGGTGAAGGCTGCTGCATTTCCCTGCCATGCCATTCAATGCAATGCAATGCAATGCCATGCAAGGCTTTTGGCATTTTGCATTTTGCAGAAGCCCACCTTCTTGCTGCCTTTCCCAGCCACCCACCCCAATGCAAATGGCAACAGAGGCTTGCAAGGTATTGATTTACCTGGTGGTGGTGGTGGTGGTGGTGATCCAGGAGGGGGGGGTCTCTCCCCCTCCTCTTCCTTCCTTCTTCCTCCTTCCTCCTTCCTCCTCCCTTCCTTCCTCTCCCTCCTTCCTCCTCCTCTCCTGCTTGGCCTCGCCTGCCTCTGCCCTTTGCTGCTGCCTTCCTTGCTTGCCTTGCCTCCTCGCCTCTCCTGCCCGGGAAGCAGAACCAGGAGGAGGAGGAATGGCAACGGGAATGGGAGAGGAAGGGTCGCCCCGGCCTCGCCCGCCCGCCCGCCGCCTCGGCCACTGCTGCACCAAGCCAGCAAGCAAGCAACCAGCCGACAGCCAGATCGGAAGGCTTCGGAAACACTCGGCACCGCTCGGGACACGGCAGGAAGGCGGGCGGCCGCTAGGGGGAGGACGAGAGCAGCAGCAGCAACAGCAGCGCCGTCGCCGCCGCCGCCGCCCGCCAAAAGGGTGCGGTGCGGTCCTAGCGCCCGCCTCTTCACCTGCTCCAGCATCTTATTATTATTTATTTATTTACTTTGCTTCTATACCGCTGTATCTCAAGCCCGAAGGCGACTCACAGCGGTTCACAAACAGTAAAAACAGTAGAAACAGCAGTGGTTCCATGCAACATATAACAATTGACTTAACACATTATCCATAAATTACCAATAAGCAGTTACAATGCACAATTATTACGAAAAACAACCGTACCCAATCTTATATTTATTTATTTATTTATTTATACACTTGTATACCGCTAATATCTCAGCCTAAGTCGGCGACTCATTGCGGTTTACAACAATTAAAAACAGTATTCAATTTAAAAACATAAAAACACATTCAATACAAATTATTGGGCCACCAATAATATTCCCAAGCATCTCGTAGTTAAAATCACAATCCAAAATTCGTCGTCCGTGATTACCAGTCCTTTGGTCATCAAAGTCCGTTGCGACAGATTAACCGAATGCTTGTTTAAACATCCATGTTTTCAGTCTCTTCCGAAACACCATCAGCGAAGAGGCTGATCGTACTTCTATAGGGAGGATTTCTATAGGAATCTTCTCATCATCCAAGCGTAGTCCAGGTTCGTCGTCCCTTGTTCCATTCCTATGTTCCATTACCAGATTGCACTAAATTACTCAAACGCCTGCACAAACATCCAGGTCTTCACCTTTTTGCGGAATACCATTAGAGATGGTGCTAGTCTAATGTCCGTAGGAAGGGCGTTCCACAGCCGAGGAGCCACCACCGAGAAGGCCCTATCTCTCGTCCCCACCAGCCGAGCTTGAGAAGCAGGCGGCGAGGAGCTACCACCGAGAAGGCCCTATCTCTCGTCCCCACCAAATGCCAAAAATAACGAATTAATAACGAATTAACGAATTAACGAACGAAACCGCACAGGCCTAATAAATATGATTCATACACAGAGAGATATACTATCATGGATTTGAAAGGGACCCTTAAAGATGGACAATGATATGTTGCATGTTCCAGGGTGGGCAAACCAGACGATCTCCACATCAACATTGACAAACAGCAAGAAATACTGTTTACCCACAAGCATAAAGAAATTACATATATTAGAAACCAACACTTTCTCATTACTTATTTTCCAGAACAACAGACTGCGTCACAGCAACGCATGGCAGGGGATGGCTAGTATCTATATAAATAAAAATGTAATGTTCGTTTGTGGGATTAACATAACTCAAACCACTGGGCGAATTGACACCAAATTTGGACACAATACACCTATCAGGCCAATGAGTGACCATCACTCATAAAAACACTGAAAAAGACAGCAGAAGAGACTTGAAAAGCCAAAATAAATAAATAAATACATTACAACACATGCGCAAAACCACATATATACACAAACACACATATATACACATATACACAAATATATACACACATATACGCATATATACGCACAAAACATATACACAGAATATACACAAACACATATATATACACAAATATATACACACACATATACCTATATTGGATTGGATTACTGTAATGCACTCCAGATTGGACTACTGTAATGCACTCTACGTGGGGCTGCCCTTGAAAACGGCCCGGAAATTTCAATTGGTACAACGGGCAGCAGCCAGGTTACTAACTGGTGCTTCTTACAGAGAGCGGTCAACCTTCCTGTTTAAGGAGCTCCACTGGCTGCCGTTTATTTTCCGGTCCCAATTCAAGGTGCAGGTTCTCACCTACAAAGCCCTGAACAGTTTGGGACCCGCCTACCTGCGTGACCACATTTCTGTGTACGAACTCACACGATCTCTCCGATCATCTGGAGAGGCCCTGCTCACGCTCCCACCTTTTTCGCAGGCGTGATTGGTGGGGACGAGGGAGAGGGCCTTCTCGGGGGTGGCCCCCCGACTCTGGAACTCACTTCCCAGGGACATCAGACATGCCCCAACGTTGGCAGTCTTTAGGAGGAACCTGAAAATGTGGATGTTCCAGTGTGCCTTCCCAGAATAAGAAGAACTCTCAGCAATATGCCCTCATAATGCACTTTAATACTGACTTAGGATGGACTGCGTTCCCTCATTTCTCTCTGAAAAATCCTATCCCAGTTATATTTTACCTTGTTCATGTCAGCATATTTTCATTTTAATCTATTACATTCGGCCCGGCCATTTTAAAATTGTTATATGTCACCATTGCTTTTTTTTGTTTATGTGATTTATATGATTTGTATTTTATTGATTGTTTATTGATGTTGTGTTTATTGATGTTTGTTTGATGTATCTTGGGCTTGGCCTCATGTAAGCCGCACCGAATCCCTTGGGGAGATGGTAGCGGGGTACAAATAAAGATTATTATTATTATTATTATTATTATTACTACTACTACTATTATTATTATTATTACTACTACTATTATTATTATATACACACAAGACACATATACACAGAATATTTACTTATTTATTTATTTACCTTACTTATATACCGCTGTTCTCAGCCCGAAGGCGACTCACAGCGGTTCACAACAAATTTGAACAGCAAAAATTCAGTGCTACAGTATAGAAACAGTTAACAACCTAACACATTACACAATTAATAAACAGTTACTACAATACCCATTCACTGTCGTCTCGTCATCAAAAACATGTTCCAGATTCGTCATCCATTGTTCCAAGGGCGTTCCACAGCCGAGGAGCCACCACCGAGAAGGCCCTATCTCTCGTCCCCGCCAGCCGAGCTTGAGAAGCAGGCGGGATCGAGAGCAGGGTCTCCCCGGAAGATCTCAAAGTCCTGGTGGGTTCATAGGCAGAGATGCGGTCAGATAGGTAGCTTGGGCCGGAACCGTTTAGGGCTTTAAAGGCCAACGCCAGCACTTTGAATTCAGCCCGGTAGCAGAATATATACAAACACATATATATATACGCACACAACATACACAGAATATACACAAACATGCATATACACATATACACAACTATACACACACACATATATGCATATATACACACACAAAACACGTATACACAGAATATACACTTATAATATAAAAATAATAAAATTTGATTTATATACCGCTCAATCTCCCCAAGGGGACTCAGAGCGGTTCCCAGGTAACATCACAAAAACATACAAGGTAAAAACAACATAACCATAAGATTAACAAACAAAAAGCATAAGCATAAAGCATATAAGCATAAAGATTGTCGCCATAACACATATATATTAAAAGTAATCTTGCCTGTTCAAGGCAATTAAAAATTTAAAAGGCCAGGCCAAGATTTGTGCAAGCCCAAAAATTCTAGGGGGCCCGGGAATTAAGTGCAATGCTATGGCAGGCAACAATAATATTAGGTACGGGTCTGTGGCTGTTCATTCCAGGGATGATTAGAGGAAAGAATCTGGGTAATTAGTAGGGAGAATAAGGCCGTATTCGACAATGTGTGGGGCTGAGTTAGAACTGGTCATTTTCAAAGGCTTGTTGAAACCACCAGGTCTTCAAGCTCTTACGAAAGGAGGGGAGGGATGGCGCCTGTCTCGTTTCCCTTGGAAGGGCGTTCCAGAGACGGGGGGCCACTACTGAGAAGGCCCTCTCTCTCATCCCCACCAACCGCGCTTGAGACGGTAGTGGGACCAAGAGGAGGGCCTCCCCGGAAGATTTTGGAGCTCGTGCCGGTTCATAGAAGGAGATGCAATTGCGGAGATAGGCGGGGCCCGAACCGTTTAGGGCAGTGTTTCTCAACCTGGGAGTTGGGACTCCTGGAGGGGTTGTGAGAGGTTGTTGGAGGGGTCGCCAAAGACCATCAGAAAACACAGTATTTTCTATTGGTCATGGGAATTCTGTGTGGGAAGTTTGACCCAATTCTATCATTGGTGGGGTTCAGAATGCTCTTTGATTGTAGGTTAACGATAAATGACAGCAACTACAACTATAAATCCCAGCAACTACAACTCCCAAATGTCAAGGTCTATTTCCCCAAACTCCACCAGTGTTCGCATTTGTGCATATTGAGTATTTGTGCCAATTTTGGTCAAGATCCATCGTTGCTCTCTGGATGTAGGTGAACTACAACTCCAAAACTCGAGGTCAGTGCCCACCAAACCCTTCTGGTGTTTTCTGTTGGTCACGGGAGTTTTGTGTGCCAAGTTTGGTTCAATTCCATCATTCATAGAATCAAAGAGTTGGAAGAGACCTCATGGGCCATCCAGTCCAACCCCCTGCCAAGAAGCAGGAATATTGCATTCAAATCACCCCCTCAGTCTGCAGGCCTCCTTTGCAGCTATTGGTTCAGAAAGGTATCTTTTTGGGTCTAGGGACCGCCTTTTCTCCCAGGGAAAAGATCTCCATTTTGGAATCTCCCCTGCCTTTTCAGTTTAGAGGAAAGACTTCAGACGTGCTGATGGTTAGGCAGGTAGCCAAGAAGCAGGAATATTGCATTTAAATCACCCCTGACAGATGGCCATCCAGCCTCTGTTTAAAAGCTTCCAAAGAAGGAGCCTCCACCACATTGCGGGGCAGAGAGTTCCACTGCTGAACGGCTCTCACAGTCAGGAAGTTCTTCCTCATGTTCAGATGGAAT